TGACTTACAAATGAATTTGAAAGACTAAATAGCAACCTATGACTCTTAGACACACAGCAATGTGTACACAATTTATTTGAGGCAACAGTAGTAGGTAAATGATGTTGAGAAACAAGAAAATGTAACTTCTTGGATGAAGGATGTCCTAATCTAGAATGCCAAAGAGAATCATAATGAGCAGGAGCGGCAGTGGAACAATGAAGACATAAAGGTTTAGAGGGCAATGAAGAAGTAGTTGAAGCTAGTAGATGATAAAGACCATGAGAATGGTATCCTTATACAGAACCTTCTTGGTAAGCTTGTCCTATATAACAAAGGAATCAACATCAAAAGTAATGGTACGCTTGTTGTCAGCAATTAATTGGTGAACTGACAGAAGATTGGAAGAGATAAATGGAACATGTAACAAATTGTTAAGTGTGAAAGGCATAGTGGGAGTAGGAAGCATGCCATCACCAGTATGATGAATAGGCAAGGTGGAACCATCTCCTACAGTGACTTGATCAGGACTATGATAAGGTTGGTAAGTATTCAAATTGTTGAGATCATTAGTAAAATGATTTGTAGCAGCAGAATCTAAGAACCAAGCAGAACTGTCTGGTGTATCAGTAGGAGAATTATGAACAGAACTGGTGGATGAGGATGCAACATAAGCCCTGGGATGAGACATAGATATAAAAGAAGAAGAAGAAGGTAAAGGTGCTTGAAAGGTTGAATATAGTCTATGCCAATATTCCAAAGTTGAATGATTAGGCTTTCCACAAATTTGACATAACAAAGATCTAACAGAGGACTAATATGGAGACTAATATTGATGTGGAGACTGAAACTGAGAAGATGTTCTGCCTCCACCTCTGTTTTGTGAAAATCTATTGCCAGTACCCTTATTGTTTCCATTATTTCGACCTCTATACGAACCATGACCTCGATATCCTCCTCTCTGAGATCCTCTAAAATCTCTATAATTTTCTCGAGTAGTAGCATAAGCAAAAGGAAGGTCAGATGCATGAGTTTGCTTGAGAGAGGTTTCAACATGAATGGATTCTGAACACAGTAGAGCAGATAAAGCATCAATAGAAATAGGATCAGATCTAGCTCGAATAGTAGTTTTGAAAGCATTATATTAATCAGGTAAACCATTGAAGGTGAGCAAAACTAAATCTTTATCTTCAATTGGTGAACCAACCAAACTCAACTGATCAGAAACAGCCTTGATTTGATTCAAATAGGCTTCCATAGTAAGATTTTTCTTTGTAATATGATTGAGTTTGTTCTTTAGCTGATGGATATAAGATCGAGAAAGAGATGTAAATCGAGCAGCTAGTGTATTCCATACCTCTAAACTTGTACCACAGTGCAAAACAGAAGTGAAGATAAATGATGAAAGTGTAGCAGTAATACAACTCAACAAATGTGCATCAATGGTGATTCAATGAGTATATGTCGGATTTGGAGTAGGATTACCATGTGCATTATTGATTGTAGAAGAATGACATAATATGGAACCATCAACAAAGCCTATAAGCTTTGTAGCTCTCAGGATATTCTGAAATTGACTCTTCTAAATGATATAATTCATGGAATCAAGTTTGATTGGAACAAATGAGTTCAGATTGGAAATAAGAAGAGTGAGATTGGAAGGTAACACATAAATATTGGGAGAACCTGTAGCAGATGCTGAATCTGCCATTGTAACAGCAGCTTCTTGCAGATTTGCTGCTATTACTATATCTAGGGGTGAGTAACGGATATACCGATCCGCCAAAACTAACCGAACCGAACCGATCCGCCGCATTTTGGACGGATGCGTGATGACGAGTGGACGGTTGCGAATTGATTTTCTCCAATCCGCCAATCTGGCAGACGGATGGCGGATTTGAGAATATGGCGCTGTAGTTTGGTGAATAATGCCATGTTGTGCACAAAATTCATTTAATGGTGCATCATATTCACCACCCCTATCACTTCTAACCATTTTAATGGTTTTACCAAGTGAATTTTTAACTTCTGTTTTGTAGAGTTTAAATATTTCTAAGGCTTCATCTTTACTTCTAAGTAAATAAACATAACAATATCTTGTGTAATCATCGATAAATGTTATGAAATAATTTTTGTCTTCTCTAGTTTGAACAAACTTAAGATCACATACGTTTGTATGAATTAATTCTAGAGGTTCGGTTTTCTTTTCAACCGATTTAAATGAAGCCTTAGTTAGTTTTGCTTCTACACAAATTTCACATTTATGATTAGGATTAATTTCAAACTTTGGTATATAATCTAAACCAATTAATCTACGCAAGGCATCTAAATTCACATGTCCTAATCTACCATGCCATAAATTTGACTAAAAAATATAAACAAAAGATTTGTTATTCTTATTTATAGCAACTTTCGGTATAACTGTCATTACATTTAATTTGAAGAGACCATCACTCATGTATCCCTTACCAACATACATACCATTCTTTGATAATACAAATTTATCCGACTCAAATACAAGCCTAAAACCATTTTTACTTAACAAAGGGCCCGAAACCAAATTCTTCCAGATGTCAGGTACATGCAGTACGTTGTTGAGGGTTAGTTCTTTCCCTGATGTCATCTTCAAGATCACCTTTCCTTGTCCAGCCACAGTAGAAGTAGAAGAATTTCCCATGAAAAGTTGTTCACCATTTGCAGCCTTATTATAGGTAGTAAACATCTTCTTGTACGCACATATGTGACGAGTTGCTCCAGTGTCAACCCACCACTTTTTGGGATTTCCAACCAAGTTAGCCTCAGACACCACAGCAGTGAGGTTGATGTCGTTTACCTCGTCAGAGATGTAATCTAATTCTGTCAATTGGCTTGATTGGTGGTCTTCTTGCTTGTACTTCCACGATCCTTCTTAGGGCGGCAGCAATCAGAAGCTCAATGTCCAGTCTTGCCACAGTTATAGAATTTTCCTTTGAACTTCTTGTTGCCATTCTTGTCGCCTTGTTTAGGACCATTTCCAGTAAACTTCCTCCTTTCGTTATGTGGTTTATGAACTTGTTCAACCACATTAGCCTTAGACTCAATGGAATTTTTTTCTATTCCTCTTTTCAGCCTTATAGTTATCTTCCTCAATTCTCAGTCTTACAATAAGTTCATCCATGGTCATCTCTTTGCGTTTATGTTTAAATAATTTTTGAAATCTTTCCAAGCCGGTGGTAACTTTTCCACTAAAGCAGCGACTTGGAAAGACCCACTCAGAGACATACCCTCAGAATGAATATCATGTAACATTAATTGAAAACTTTGAACTTGAGAAATTACCGTTTGGGAGTCTACCATAACGAAATCTAGAAATTTACCGACAACAAATTTATTCGTGCCGGCATCCTCTGTCTTGTATTTTTTCTCTAAAGAATCCCACAATTCTTTTGCTGACTTCAAAGGACTATAAAAATTATACAGCATGTTGTCAAGGCCATTAAGGATGTAGTTTCTGCATAGGAAATCTGAATGTTTCTAAGCATCTACAGCGACAACAACTTGTCGATCACTTTCACCCTCTTTAAGTGCTGGAGCCTTTTCACGGAGAAACCGGGCCAAATCTAGAGCTATAAGATAGAACAACATCTTCTGCTGCCATCTCTTAAACTCTGTACCGTTAAATTTTTTCGATTTTTCTCCATGATTTATTGGAACTTGAACATAGTTCTGGATAAGGACCGGTGTTGGTGTAACAGTTAGAGTACCACTTCCAATTGCAGTAGCCATAATATCTGATTACAAAAATCAGAAAAACAAATTATAAATTAATTTTCTAGTTACTAAAACCATAAAATAAATTAGAACACGAAATAGTTTTATTTTTCCTGTTACTAAAACTAGAAAAATAAAATACCACAATAATTTTCTATAACACCAAATAATATTCTACAATTGTTAATGACACCAGTATATTACTACTAGTTGTCAAAGAAAATAGACAGTATATTACTACTATCCGTTAAATAGTTTATAAATACTATTTGTATTTTCCAACCAGAATATTACTTTGAAAACACAGAAAATTAAATATAATGAAGACACCAAACATATTTTGTCTTAAGATTGTAGGGCAATTTTCACTGTATTTGAAAAATAAATTCTGTTGTGTACTAAACAACAAACAGAATATAAAAGAAATATAGGAAATGAGAGAACTTGTTTAATTACAAAAATCAAACCTGAAAAATAAAATAAAATAAAATAAATAAAAACAGATTTTATTTTGTTACAAAAATAAAATTAAAATCTGATTTAAATAAACAAATAAAATAGAAAAATAAATTAAACAACTTACTTGATTAATTTCTTCAAATAATAATCTGATCAAGTCCAGTATTCGACACTGTGTTCTTAAGATAGATTCGTCTTCTCCTCGGTACTTTCAAAATATGGACGTCTATCTCCCAAGATAAAATGATCAATCAACAAATAAATGCAGCACTACAATTTATTTGTTTAACAAACACACTTACTGTATACACCCTTTCTCACAGAAAAATAATAAAATAAATGCAGCAAAATGCAGAGATGATATTGCTGCAAGGATGGACGAAAAATTGGAATAGAAATCCAAATGAAGGACTAGTCTATTTATAGAGATGAAGTGGTGGCTGCTAATTTTGAATTAAACAACTATACACTACTAAAAAAAACACTTTTTGCGACCGCTATAAACCGTCGCAAATAATAAAAAATAGTCGCAAAAGACTTTTTGCGACGGCCCATGCGACGGCAAATGGGGGTCGCGAATATGGGGGTGGCAATTACTTTTTGCGACGGCAAAGCAACGGTCGCAAATTATTTGCGACCACCTAAACTACTTACGGCGACTGCTGTTTTGCCGTCGCAAAAAATAAAGAAAAACACTAATATGATCTTTGGCGACCATCTTGTTACCGTCGCAAAAAATAAAAACAAAAACAAAAATAAAAACAATAAATAAATAAATAAAAGTGTAGCGTTAAGCACTCTAGGAATAACAATGACAAGAATTCAGACAATATAGCATTATAGTATGATTGAACATTCTATTTGAGTCTCAAAATTTGAGCCATATGTAAAAGTTATTACAACTAAAAACTTGGGAAAAGTTCTTTTATGAAAAAAATACAATCCAGAACTGGCCAATCTTCTGATCAATTTTTTTGCTCGGGTGTTTCTCCACTCTATCAATGAACTAGCATAACACCTTGTACTCCTCAGTGCAAGAAATGAAAGCAATATGACGAGGGGAAAAGCTCCTTCTCCACAATTGAAAAAGGTAAGCTTTTATACTGCATTGTCACATGATTCCCAACATAAAGAAATCTTTTAGGATGTAAGCTACAAAACAGTGATAAACCCCCACAACTAGAGACCATTTGTCCAGAACAAGGTAACCAGAATTATATGGCATACCAAAATTAAGCTCAAGGTAATTTTGAAGTCTCCCTCATTAAGCTCAAGGTAACCAGAATTATATGGCATACCAAACTTCTGGATATAATTTTTGACCAAGCCCTGCACACATATCTCCCACAGTTATGCAGAAACTCTGAAAAAAGATTTCCCGGGAAGAAATGGAATGTCATTCTTCAGTTTCTTCAGTTTTGTCATTTTAGAAGAAGCAATCCTACAAAAATGTAGAGAATACTGTAAAATTTTGAAAAATGATGAATAAGACCAACAACATTGTTCATGCATCTATGGAATAAAAAACTAGAAGTCTGGACAAGAAGATATCTTTGGCACAAAAATGAAATACAGAAGGGAAAGAAAAACATACAAATAAAAAATTTTAAACCAACTAACCAAAAACAGTCATTCACACAAATGCTATGAAAAGATTGAATTCGAGGACGGTTCTCTTCATCAATGGGAGAAGCATATAATTCAAACAATCAAGCTCATACACAACACATACTGACCTTTCCTTAATTTGTAACTATTCATAAAAGCAATCAACTTAACCTATTTTTCAGAAAGTAATAAAATGGCTGGTTCAATCTACAGAAAAATGTTTCTGGTTTTCGCAACAGTTTAGGTATTCGATGAACAAGAGGCTCCTTCAAATCAAACCACGAAAGGAGAAATATTTCAGCCCATTGTCTATATTACCGCTTTAAACACACACCTAAGGCTAACTTAAGATATATAATGTAAGTATCCACATGGAAGGATCTACCAAAATGCAGCCAAAAATATTAGACACGTAATCACATAGGTATTGAAGCACCCCTGACTGGTAATGCTCCAAAAGCACCATGCATACCCTTTATGCATATGCAAGTAACTACCACAAACAAAAAAGGATAATGCCTTTTCGGGAGGGAAGAAAGAAAAAAAAAATATATCCAGAAGATTTTCAAGCCTCTGCTAAATCTTGTCTAATAGATCCACGCCATTAGTTTACAGAACACAAATACAATAAAAGGGCTTGAGCGCTTGCCTTGGGACATTATGCTTGGTGAATGTTGCAGATTGCAGCACTTATGCTTTTACAATCAAATTCCATGGTCTTCATCCAGTTCTCAAAATCTCCAATTTCCTGAGCAAGGCAAACCCGTACTCAATTTCGGTAATCAAGAGCCAGTCCCACACCAAGCTCTCCAATTTATGGTGTGTTCGGAAGCCATATAAAAGATAGGAATCAAAAGCTTATCACATTCTTCATAAACATATCCTAAAACAAAACGATTGGACACAGAATGAAGCATACCTGTGTATATAGTTGGACTCCATAATTTCTCAATTCAAATTTGTATTATAACTTCACAATTTTACCCAAGCTCTGTCACCTAATAACACACCCATTCATCATTATATCTAGATTCTTCTAACTATATACAACCATTCTGACAGGCAGTCATTGTCATAGATTACAAGTTAAGATTTTAAACGTGTTGTTTATTTGAATGTCAATTTGAACAAGCCCATTGTGTTTCACATTGCTTTTATGAATGTATTCATCATTAGAAGCATCAAAACTAGAGGAACTGAGCTCGAATTATTTCAAACCTATTATGGGAAACAATAAATTCATTTACATGCCATCAGAATTGCAATAGATAACTTCAAATTCAATGCAAGACACAATAATCTAATTTGAATTCCATGGAAGACCCGAATTCTCATTAACACTCGGGGCCACCGAAAGGATGTGGGAGCTGAGAAGAGAAAGATAAAAAGAGCTACTGAATTAGAATCCAAATTCCAATGCATGTGAAATATGAAATGGAAAAGCCACTACTGCACAGGGGACAAACTACAAATTGCCATGGGGTGGTAATCTATACAAGCAAATTAGTGAGGCCTATGCCAACTCAATAATTGCAGTTGTGGCCATGACTATTCTTTAAGCTATGGTGGCTAAGCAAACAGACATAGTCATCCAAGAATTGAGTGTGTGTGTGTGGAACCAACTCTACCCCCATTTGACAATCTAACAAGCGGTTGTAATAATTGAACTACACTAAGGGGTGCAAGAGAAACTGATGAAACTGAACCGACCGTGAAACTGACCAAAATTTCAGTTTTCAGTCAGTTTTTCATAAGGTATGGCCTGTTTCGTTTTAAATTTGTTTACAACTGATATTGACTGAACTGACCGAAACATTATATTTTAATACTTTTTATGTTGTAAATTTTTTTAGTATTATCAGAAGACAATAAACACCAATGCACATTTTACAATTAAAGTTAGGACAGAGATTTATAGAGCATCTCCATCCATTTATTCCCAATCATTTATTCCAAATATAGGATTCTATAGATTTTATAAAACACTTAAAAACGTTTATTATGAGTCAATATGAACAATTGACAATACCAAACCCTAGTATGCAGATGGTTTCGGTTCCTCAATTAACAAAACTGAAACTTCAGCTGGATGCCAAATTTTCGCACAACCCCAACCGAACCGAACTGTTAACACTACTCAACTAGCGTAAAAAAGCAGGGTATGCACAAAGATGAAAACATGTAAAACAAGTCAAAACAATTCATGAGTCACAATTGAGAGCTACTACAACTAATATACAGAGTAATTTAATTATTATCCAATAGAAAATGAGCAAAAATGAACTGAAATTGAAAAGAAGGGAAGTGAATTTGGGGACCTTGATAGCAGTGTTGATAGAACGAGAAGCAGCAAGCCACTGATCAGTCTGCTTAGCGAAACGCATGATTGTGGCCGCCAAAGACCGAATCTCGAGCTCAATTCGCTTCTCATTCACGAACGATTCTTGTACTCCTCCATTCACAATCTGCTTAGCGAAACGCATAAATGTAGAAAAAAATCATTTCAAATTCAAACTCTCTGGATCATAATTCGGATTTGAAATTTATATATAGGTTGCTATGATCATCTGTAAATGAAAATCAAAAGCTGAACTGTACCAGTAGAAGCGAGTCCTGCTCGGTTATCTCCGATTCCTTCACTTTTTGTACAACAACTTGATCGATCGAGAAGATTGCAGTGAGATTAGTGGATAAGCAACAAGTTAACGAAAAAGGCGTGAAGATGAACAAGAAGTGAATGCTTCGAAGAGATTTCTCTGATCTCACAGAGAAACTAAGACAAGAGAGAGAGAGAGAGAGAGCAATTCAGAGCACACTTGATTTCTCAGATCATTACAGAGAAAGTTGAATCGATGAAGATGTGTTTAGGCTTACCGATTATGAAATCTTCAACAGTTGTGGACTAGAGAAAGTTGAATCGATCGACAGATTCGAGCGAGAGATTCGAGCGACAAATTCGAGCGAGGGAGGCAGTGAGATTCGAGCGAGAGACAGATTTTGAGAGGGAGAGAAAGAGGGAGCTCAGATTTGGGAAAAAATGGGGCGGATTGAGAGGGAGAGAGAGAGTCAGGTTTTATAAGATTTTGATGGTAAAATAAGATTTTGATGTCAAAAAATGATTGGGTCAGGAGAATGAGATGGTAAAATAAGATTTTGTTGTTAAAAATGATTTTTTGCGAAAAATTAGACGCAAAAAGGCATATTTCTAGTAGTGACAATACCTGTTCAATTTAAATTAAAAGGATAGGCACTGTTTGGTTTGAATTTCAAACAATTCAAAAACCTATTTTTGGTGGATTTGAATTTGAACAGAACAAATTCGGATCTGTCTGTGAAGAGGTGCAACAATTTTGAATTCAAAAATTAAAATTTAAATCTAGATAGAAATTTGGAATGAATTTTTGGACAAATTTTATTTCAAAAAATAAAATTTAAATTTAAATGTTTTTGGCCCAAAAAGACACCACGCACCCGTGTCCAGGCCTAGCTAGCCCGGACGACGGCGCATGGTGATTTTTGGGTCCAATTGGTCTAGTCCATTTTGCCCATAACCTCCCTCTCTTAAATTAAAAGGATAGGCATTGTTTGGTTTGAATTTCAAACAATTCAAAAACCTGTTTTGGGTGGATTTGAATTTGAACAGAACAAATTCGGATCTGTCTGTGAAGAGGTGCAACAATTTTGAATTCAAAAATTGAAATTTAAATCTAGATAGAAATTTGGAATGAATTTTTGGACAAATTTTATTTCAAAAAATAAAATTTAAATTTAAATGTTTTTGGCCCAAAAAGACACCACGCACCCGTGTCCAGGCCTAGCTAGCCCGGACGACGGCGCATGGTGATTTTTGGGTCCAATTGGTCTAGTCCATTTTGCCCATAACCTCCCTCTCTACAAAACTTAGGTACCCCTTAGGTACACCCCAAGTTCCAATCCCATGCCTTATAAACTCAATCAAAACTTTCCACCAAATCAATGTGGGACAAACCATTTTTCAACCTTAAGGAATTTTCACCAAAACTCCATTTTCATGGAGCTCACTTTGGCTTCAATTTCCCATTCACCCGATAATGGTTTTGAACAACCAAATATACCACGTGAATCACAACGCGGCATAGAACACATTACCACTTAGACCCGCCAAATTTGACGCATGGGTCCTACCTAAATAATAGACCAAAGTTAAGAAAAAATTATGTTTTACCCAGAATTTTCCAACCATTTCCAACAATAAATAATACTAGCTTATCACCCGTGCTATGCACGGGATAATTCTAGATATTTATATTTATTTTAAATTTTTTTAATATATAAATTATGTTTTTTAAGATTTTTTATAAAAATAATTTAACAATCTTATCACTAACCATAGTGTATGAGAGAAGTTGAAAATTTATTATATTATATTAAAGTGTAATATTTTGGTAATAATCATATGTGTTGGACTTTTCAAGAAATTCATATGTGATGGACTTTTCAAGGAATTTTTTTCATGCTTGTTCTTAATACATTAAAATGTTATTACGAGGGATAATAACCATGCGTTGAATTTTTCAAGGGATTCATATGTACTTCACAATTATTTCTATATATGTGAATTGTGATTTTTAAATTTTTTTTAAATGTCTTTTTTTATTATATTATATTAAAGTGTAATATTTTGGTAATAATCATATGTGTTGGACTTTTCAAGAAATTCATATGTGATGGACTTTTCAAGGAATTTTTTTCATGCTTGTTCTTAATACATTAAAATGTTATTACGAGGGATAATAACCATGCGTTGAATTTTTCAAGGGATTCATATGTACTTCACAATTATTTCTATATATGTGAATTGTAATTTTTAAATTTTTTTTAAATGTCTTTTTTTATTATATTATATTAAAGTGTAATATTTTGGTAATAATCATATGTGTTGGACTTTTCAAGAAATTCATATGTGATGGACTTTTCAAGGAATTTTTTTCATGCTTGTTCTTAATACATTAAAATGTTATTACGAGGGATAATAACCATGCGTTGAATTTTTCAAGGGATTCATATGTACTTCACAATTATTTCTATATATGTGAATTGTGATTTTTAAATTTTTTTTAAATGTCTTTTTTTATTATATTATATTAAAGTGTAATATTTTGGTAATAATCATATGTGTTGGACTTTTCAAGAAATTCATATGTGATGGACTTTTCAAGGAATTTTTTTCATGCTTGTTCTTAATACATTAAAATGTTATTACGAAGGATAATAACCATGCGTTGAATTTTTCAAGGGATTCATATGTACTTCACAATTATTTCTATATATGTGAATTGTGATTTTTAAATTTTTTTTAAATGTCTTTTTTTATTATATTATATTAAAGTGTAATATTTTGGTAATAATCATATGTGTTGGACTTTTCAAGAAATTCATATGTGATGGACTTTTCAAGGAATTTTTTTCATGCTTGTTCTTAATACATTAAAATGTTATTACGAGGGATAATAACCATGCGTTGAATTTTTCAAGGGATTCATATATGTACTTCACAATTATTTCTATATATGTGAATTGTGATTTTTAATTTTTTTTTAAATGTCTTTTTTTATTATATTATATTAAAGTGTAATATTTTGGTAATAATCATATGTGTTGGACTTTCAAGAAATTCATATGTGTTGGACTTTTCAAGGAATTTTTTTTTTATGATTGTTCTTATTGTATTAAAGTGTTATTATGAGGGATAATAATCGTATGTGTTGGGACTTTTCAAAGAATTCATATGTTTTGGGCTTTTCAAATTTTTTTTTTTTACTTGGGGGTTGGGAGAAGTTAATAAATACTAAGGTTTTTTTTTTTAAAATAAAAAATCAGGAAATTTAGATTGGGATATTAGAGCTCCCACAAGACTTGGGGGGTTAGAAACCCCATTTTCTTAATATATACTAGCCTATCACCCGTGTTATGCACGGTATAATTATAAGTATTTATATTTGTTTTAGATTTTTTTTAATATATGAATTATGTTTTTTAAGATTTTTTTCTTATCACTAACTATAATGTATGGGAAAAGTTGAAAAGGGTACTGCAGTAACTATACACGAATTGTGTCTATAATTATTTGTATGAGGGGATTTTAAATGCTAATCAGGGGATTTTGACCAAATCAATAATTGCAGGCATGTGGAAAGATATGTAGATTGAAAAAAGTTAATAAATGCTGATAAGGGAATTTTAACTAAATCAATAAACGCTGAGTTTTTTTTTTAAATAAAAAATTTTAAAAATTCAGATTGGGTTATTGAAGCTCCCATAAGCCTTGGGGGTTAAAAATCTCATTTTGCTTAATATATAGTATAGATATAGATAGATAGATAGATATATCTTTTTATTTTTATTTTTATTTTTGTGTGGTTTCTATTCGGGTATTGTTTTTTTCAATTTATTTAAGATGGAGTTGTGGGTATCTTTTTTTTAAAATTTAATTTATCGGTGGTTTCCATTTGTTTTTAATTATTATTATTTAGGTAAGTTATGATGTGAGTTAGATATATGATAAAAATTGATTAATTTGTCCCATTAAGTGATTTAAAATTTTGATAGATATACATAAAAAAAATACGTAATTATATTATTAAATCATAATTCAAATTTAGATGTTATATCTTTTTGAGATCTATAGCTAAATTCTTATCTTTTTTATTTTTTATTTTTGTGTGTAACCATAGTGTATGGGAGAAATTGAAAAAAGGTGTTGCAATAATTATGAAAGAAGTCAAAATAGATTATGGGTTGGGAGAAGTAAATAAATGCTGAAGTTGGGTTGGGAGAAGTCAATAAATGCTGAGGTTTTTTTTTTTTAAATCAAAAAATTAGAAAATTAGGATTAGGAGATTAGAGCTCCCACAGGCATTGGGATTAAAAATCCCCTTTTACTTAATATATAGTATAGATAGATGCAATAAAAAATAAAATCCAATGTGACATCAGGAAAAAGTAATAGAAAGCCAAAAGTGAAGTGGAAAAATAAAAGAAAAAGCAATTTTCCCTTTTCTCTTTGATTCCCCTCCCCAAATTCAAGATCCAAACAAAACCTTAGATGAATGAGACATTAGCAATTGTATTAATTCAGAACTAGCATATCACCCGTACTATGTACGGATTGTGTTTACAATTATCTATATATGTGAATTGTGATTTTTAATTTTTTTTAAATGTATTTTTTTTTTCTTTTTTTATATTTTATTAAAGTTTAATATTTTGATAATAATCATATGTGTTGGACTTTTCAAAGAATTAAATGTTTTTTTATTATTATTATATTATATTAAAGTTTAATATTTTGATAATAATCATATGTGTTGGATTTTTCAAGAAATTTTTTTTATGCTTGTTCTTAATGCATTAAAATATTATTATGAGGGATAATAATCATATGTGTTGGGACTTTTTAAGGAATTTATATATGTTGGATTTCAAAGAATTTTTTTTATGCTTGTTTTTAATGCATTAAAATGTTATTATGATGGTAAGACTTGGGAGTTGGGAGAAGTTAATAAATGCTAAGATTTTTTTTTTTTTAAATCAAAAAATCAGGAAATCTAGATTGAGGGATTGGAGCTCCTACAAGGTTTGGGGTTAAAAACCCCCTTTTGCTTAATATATAGTATAGATATAGATAGATAGATAGATATATCTTTTTATTTTTATTTTTATTTTTGTGTGGTTTATATTCGGGTATTTTTTTTTTCAATTTATTTAAGATAGAGTTGTGGGTATCTTTTTTTTTAAAATTTAATTTCTCTGTGGTTTCCATTTGT